GCATGATAGTCAGTTGAATGTAACCCTCTTATTTGAATATAATTTCCACACCATTCAAGTGTTTTTTTGTGTGAAATTGCGGAGAGCATAATTTGTGAGGACTTCTGAGCAAGCTGAAGTTCCGTGATGAAACACTTCCTGTCGCGCCATATCTCACGTGTGGGCATGTGAATTGTGACTGCATGTGGCACAATGAATGGGAAGATAAATGCATTTGCAGTGCAGTTGCATCCTCATCTCACGAATATTCTACCTATTGTCTCAACAACCGTGTCCTGAAGCAGACAAATATGTGAGCTACTCTATAGTATTTACTTTCGATCCCTTTTTGCTCTCGCACAAAGAAATCGACTCCAACCGTCAAGGATTTTCCTTAAGGGTGAGTAAATATAAGAAAGCTTTTATGCCTAAAAAGGCGGAAGTCTATTTTTAGACAGAGTGCCTTTAACTCTTTTCTTCCCGTCTCTTTGGCGGAAATGTTGAAGAGATGAGTGAAAAGAAGTCAAGAAAATGCTTAGAATGTATATCACAAGTTTTCCTATATCCAGGATTTTAGTCTAACACTTAATTGTCTATTCATTATTGTATTACTTGAGCTTCGAAAAGCAGATAAAGTTTCAGGCCTGTCATTTTTGCGCAGCAAAAAGTTTTAAATCTCTTGAGGAAAAATTGAATGTCTCGAATGGGATTTGATGATATATTTGATCTATAAGAACCTTATAAAGGATTTCAAAGAAATTCTCTATAGTTGAATGGAAAATTGAGCATCTCTTAAAATGTCATGTTGTAATACATTATGTATGTAATATCGCCAACTTGCGAGAAGAAGAGGAGAAAATCGAGACCCCGAGGCAGTATCATATCTCATTACACACTATATTATAAGATGCTCACTCCGGAATAAATTTGCTACTCATGTGAACTGATTTATTCCGGGCCTATCTTATCATATTTCACATGAGGAAAAAAAACCATCACTAAATCCGTATGACGCGGAACTGTTTCAAAGACGCCCACATTTCGTGATAGAATGAAATGAGATGTAAATTTATTGACATATTTTTTTTCAAGATTTTGCGGTATAGAGATAAATTATATAGAGACTTTAATGTCAGCATGAATGACATAAAATATCCTTATAGACAATTGACATTCAAATCCAGCAGTTTATTGATTAAAATTGCTAAAGTTTTCTCAGTATAAAAAGTTTATTCACATTGACAAAACAATCTCGAGAAATTCCAGTCAATCAGAATGATTTTCTTTGAAGAAAGAATTCAATTAGTGAAATTATAACGCACGCAATTTGTGTTTTTCTTTCAAGACCGTGTTAAAGAGTATTAACCCATCGGAAGGGACTTTCTCAATTTTGGGGAAGAAGGAAATTAATGGGAAAATCAATAAAATACCCAACAGTTTCTTTCCCATTTGTCGAAGTGAATTGATGATAGCGAATATATTGGTTTCGGTCAAATTTAAGTTGGTAATGTCTTCCCAGGAAAAGCATATACGTGGAAAATGTGTTGTGGGAAAGACAAATGAACGTCCGTTCAATTTACCATCCAATTTATCACATTGAGGGAAAATTAGTGAACAATTCTGCAGCAAATGAAATCATTTGACAATTATTGTGCAATTCCTGGCACAATTTCGTGCTCATTTATCAGGAAATTAGCAAATGCCATTCAGTGCAATCGCCCTGTTGAAGACACACATCCAGAGCATTCATGAGCCAACAATTGACCTGGATTTCAAAAGCACTTCCAACGAAGCAACTCTTGACGAAGCTTAGCGTAATCATGAATAATAGGATTAAAATTTATATTAAAATCTCTACTAAAGTATCTCTACAAAGCTTTTCACGTGGAAACTGTTGGACGATTATTTGTGCATAAAACTCAGATTGGACAAAACTTTTATTTCTGTTACCTCACAACACACTAACTGCTTTTTATGAATGCTTCGTTGAATGTTATTACGAAGCTTTAGCAATTGAAAGAGTTTGTATGACGCACGAATACGAAAAAAAAACCATTTTTTGATGGGAGAAATGCAAATTACGCATGCAATATGCGTTGCAATGCACGTTGAAAATGCTTAAATTGTACAAAATAATCTCCAGAATAACTATTCTTTACCAGTGTCTCCTTACAAGGCAGAAGATTATCTTCTGCCAAAATCTTCTGCTTTTGTAAAGAAGAATTATTTCACTGGGAAATCCCTTCAATGGAGCTCAAAATTCCCTTGAAAATGATTAAATTTCGGGGGAATGTTGAGAAGGAAATTATGTGCATCCGGGCTAAGTTATTTATAATACACATAATTTATGGTGGATGAGAATTGTGAGAAAATATCTGCCAACTTCAAATTAGTCCATAGAACTTTGACAAAGCAAATGTTAAAGGTCAGAATTCTCAACAGCAAATGCTTATTCTGTGTTGGAATGCTTTTGGTTTAAATTGTGTGAAAGGCTATTTTGCTCGTTCACAACTATGCATAAAAAACATCCTTTCCGGTGAGAATTTGTGAGTTTTGCATTCTCCTTTAATTACACCTTCGCCTTCGAGAGATCTTTCTGCCATATTTCAACTTGTAGTGGAAATTCCAAGTTCCTTGTTCTTGTTATTAATTCCAGGAGTGTTTCGCACACACAATTATCAAAATTCCCAAGTGAATTAATACATTTGCAAAGGGAGCGAGAGGATGTGAAAGTGCTTGACGGGCAACACAAAGTTACTTTGTGTGCATTTGAGATTAACTAATTATATTAGAATTTATTTCAACACATTTCCAGCATTGGACGCAAATGCTGAAATTGCAAAATTTATTTTTAATACTCATCATAAACATGAAATGAGAATTAAATCCATTTGAAGGGAATTAAGGGCATAGAATGTGTAATATATTCTGCGGAAACCCACTCAGAAAGTGAGCACTTTTCCAGTGATGTCATTTCAATTAAATGTGCACCAAGTGTTGGTTGGAATTCTAATATTTTTTCTGCCATGTTGCACTTCACTCTCTTGACAATTTTCTCTATTTCAGTTCCCAGTGTTTTCAATTTGTCCAAGAGAAAATTACTCGGTTTCCATCGGTGGTTGAAATAGGATTTCAATTTAAAAATCCTGCTAGGAATGTCACAGGATTAAATTGAATTTGCTATTTAATTTACAAGCAGAGATTGACTTTCTAGCTTGACTTTCAGTCGGAACGTGATGGATTGTTCCTAATGTATGAAAGGGTAATTGATCATGTAATATTTGTATGAATAATTCCAAAACAAATCACTCATATTTACCTTCCTTGACTTGATTATTTTCCTCCACATAAATAGCAATCAATACATGAGAAAAGTGGCTCAGAATACGTGCTATTTTCGATTCAATGCTAGAGAAAATCGAAATCTGCCTCTTCGCACTTTAAGATGACGAGCAACACAACACACAAGAGTGTCACAGAAGTTGGAGATGTTATTTGTAGTACCTCAAGAAAATGAGCAACAGATTTGCCACTCTATGAGAGTCCATCAGTGCCAAACATGCTAGTTGATCCCAATTTCAGGAGAGACATAATTGGAATTATTATGTGCAGCACGGGTGGATTCTCAGAGGCGCAGGAGCTGAGATAAGGCCACACATTTTAGGCTTTATAACAGTGTGAGAGCAAAATGATATCATTGAGTTGAGGGTGAATGTCGTAATTTACAAAAGGTCACACTCTCAGGCAGTTTTCCCACACTTTCGCCACACGAGGAACGTGGACACGGTGACAACAGTCATCAAGCGAAAAGCTTTTCAGAAAACATTTACCGCCACAGAGGCAAATTTGTGAATATTCAGGCAAATAGTGCCCAAAAATAGACGTTTATTAGATGAGGAATTCAACGTGGGACTTCTCATTATACAATCTGTATCTGTGGCAATAAATCACTGAAATGCGACACAAAGTGTACACATTGTAAGATCCTGAGAGAATGAAAAGGATGCTTCATTTAATAATCTATTAGAAGTCTAATAAATCCGTCAAAGCGAAATTTTGTAGATAATTGTGGAATACTAAGTAGTGTGGTGTATTGTTAGGCGCTCAAAGGGATGAAAGACATCGGAAAATTTAATTTTCGTCAAATTCGATCTGAGTGAAAGACAGTGAGGAAGACATTTTCCCAGTAAATTGAATTGGAAGTTCATTTCTAAACGCCTTCAGGCGCAATTTTCATCCTGTTTTGAGCTAAATTCAAATTAGAGCGTGAAAATGATCGGAAGAATTCTCAAAATCATGACTAAATCCATCAATCTAGTTAATACAGATGCAACATGAAGGGTTGCAAAAAAGAAGTGCAACGCCAAATTGCAGAGCGGAATTTTGTTGGAAGTGATTCAAAAGTGAAGGATTTATAAGACGAAATAAGCCAAATAAATGAAGAGAGCCTTAAAGATTTCATCTATTTGACTATTCTTATTAAAAACAGGAAGAAAATTAAAATTAAAATGTTACTCGTGAATAAAAAATAGCAGCTTTTGTGTATTTTTCTTAGCTTATGATTTTGTGGCAAATGGAATTCAATGAATTTCGCAGAGTCTATTAATTCGTCAAAGCGCAAGCTGGAAAAGCTCTAATATTCTCAATTTCCCGAAATGAACATCTCAGGCAGGGCCTTGACTTTAATCGAAAGTTCATGTCACTGACGAAATTGCTTCTTACAATGATTAAGCACAAATTGACTTGCTTTCCATAAACGAAGAGGGTGGAAAATGTTGCGCGCTGTTCAGTTCATGTTCAATGGGAATATCAGTGGATGGGTAATTTTGTAAAGCTTATTATGATTATTAAATTATGTGTTTGGAGAGCGCGGATGCAAGAAATCATATTTAGCTGCAGAATTGACTGGGAGTGACAATCTCTGGGCATTTTCCAACCGCAAATTGAATTCTGAAGGCGAGCTTTCGCAGAACCACCCCAGCGACATATAATTTTATTATGTATACAGAGAGTGAACTTACAGATTGAATGAGGAGACACAGTGTTGCTGCTGTCGGAAATAGAAGTCGCGTGGAAAAGAACAATTTGCTCTTTCCCATCTTTCTCAGACGCCACAGACGGAGCACTTTTCGCAGGACACACAACAACTTCCCTCCAATTAACTGAGGGCGGGGGTAATTTGACGAAGGGGGAGCGCCAGAGACAGTGGCTGGGAAACCTCCACTTAGTTTGATGAACACCGAAGAGGAACTTCCCGAATGCGAGATGGCTGCTCTGGTTGGGAACTTCCGCGCGACTGGTACAACTTGTCGCACTTATGTCCCTTTTATATTGCTCCAAGGGATGCTACCACCCCTCGTGGGGACGCCGCCGAGGGGGGGGACTCCGCCGGGCGTGCGCCGTGGCGCTTCGCAAGACGCAACACGCGGCAATTGCGCTGGGCGGCCGCGAGGGTGGTGGAAAAGTGAAGAAGCTCAACATGAAATCGAAAGCTATCGATGCCTAAGAGCATCTGGAGCATCTCTAGCTTCGCCACCCCCTCAAAAAGGGGATGGCGAAGCACAAGCTGAAGCGTCCACAGGCAGAAGCATAACGATGGGAATATGAGAAGAGCGTGAGGAAGCGTGAAGACGTTTCCCAAGAGGATCAGTGAAACTGAGAAAGCACTGGAAGAGGGTGAAATCTTGGTCGACTGCTCAGAGTTCATTCCTCCAAATACACTCCCAAAAGCTCTCCAAGAAAATCAATCACTCACAGTGTATTTTCCCTTCCCACCCTTCGCAAGCGAGCTCGAAATGCGAGATGTGAAAATTTGTGGCAATCGTCCAATTAGTTTTGATATCGTCACATTAATTTGCAACGTGATCTCAACCTCTTTTTCCCACACTCAATTACACAGTTATTTTCTGCGAATTTCCATGTCATTTAGAAAGGCAAGTGTCACTTCTGTTGGCGCGCATTTTCCTCCCCAAAACACTTTCCCACCCCATTTTGCGCTCCGTGCGACTTTCAAAATGAGAATCTGTGATAGATTACAATTTTGCGCGTCATTTCCGGTTTTCGCAACTTTCTGACGTTGCGACGGGAACATTTGGGGAATAACAAGAAAATGGGAAAACAAGAGAAAAATAGGAAAACTCACAAATAATTGCTTATGTGTGTTTTGTACACTTTATGGCTCCAAAATGTTTTTTTTTTCATGCCGCAATGTTGAAATTAAGCTTGAATTAATATTAGAATATATTATTACTTTGTCTAAAAGAGTGTTATGAAAGATAAAATATTTTTTTCATCTTTAATTAGAGTTCTTCTCTCAGATTAATTACTTGGAAGCTTATTATCAAATTGTATAATTCGCGAAAATCTTTGCTAATTTTTGCCATTTTGTACAGAAATTTAGCATGAGCGGAAATATTGTCGAGTTTTTGCAGCTTGACATCAAAATTCCTCTTCTCAATGCATGATAAGACTTCCAGGGCCGTGAAATGTTGACACATCGAGTGTGTGATTGACGATTTTGCGTCTATGATCGTAAATTGTAAGAAAAAAGTTCAAACAATAAGTGACTTTGCGAGTGTTTTTCTAACACAAATTTACGAGGTAATCCATTTGGACATTTCAATTCTAAGTCATCATCAATTGTGATGTTATCAACTTGGCGTGAGAACTCTTCTTGCCGTGTATAAAAGAGAAGATGTCGAGCTATTGGACGGTTATTTGTGGAAATCAGTTCTTCGGCTTCTCACCAGTGAAAACACTGTTCAAGTTAGTGCAAAATGCAGTTCAATTTTAATGTTAATTGCTGGGCAAATGTGGTGTAAATAGAGTATAGATTAATGCGTATTTGATTTTCGCACTGGGAGCTTCGATAGTGAATAGAAAATGGCTACAAATCAGTGATTTATTAATGCATAAATCTAATGAGCTTAAAAGCTCAAACACAAGCTAAACACACTTTCAATTATGCAAAGCACAATCACAGAATTCACACATGTTTGGCAAGAGGTTTTCCCTCAATTTACATCCCACAAAATGAAGAGCATTCTGTAGTGATTCGATGATGTGTTTGCCAATTGTGTGGTGTTAGGAAGTGTTTAATGGTTAATTACATTGATTTTCTATTGATTATTATACCAAAAGAAATGTATTTTTATTCAGAACTGGATTTTAACATATTTTTCCAGCTTATGTGACTCATTTAAGACTAAATAGCAGATTAAAATATAAATTATTGTGCTAAATGTGAAGATTATGATCAAAAATTAAACTCAACAGCACAATTAGAGGAAGAAAACCCAAGAGAAAACCATCAAATGTTGCCTGAAAAGTTCTATTGTAAGATTATGAGTTAGATTTCGGTTATTTTTCAGTTAATTTTTAGTCGTAAATTCAAAATTATCCCCATATTTGGCGGAATATCGCTAATTCAAGTCTCACTCGGTGTTTTATTGAAAGAGTGATTCTGTGTTTAGGGATTTTCCATACAAACTGCTAAAGCGTCAGGAAGTGGTGACCACATATTAGCCATATTATCTCCCCCTTTGTGTATGCTGGGTTTTCATGATTAGCAAGGCAAATTGATGCGCTCTCATCGTGTGAACATGAAACGCGCCTCTTGCAGATGAAGCCTCACTTTTGGCTGGTTCTTCGCCTCGTCGGTGTCACTCTTGCGGCATTCCGGCCACGCGACTCGAAGCTGAAATGTGAGCCCTCCTTGACGACTGTGAGTGGAACACTCGCGAGCGCCATCACAGGTCCTCTGTGCTCAGGCGATTTGCTGTTCGAGGACAACTTTGACACACTCGATTACGAGACTTGGCAGCACGAAATCACACTCGCCGGCGGCGGAGTAAGTTTCGCTGCTACTCAATTTGCGTGTTTTCCCACTTGATGAGCTTATGGAATTTTGGCAGAACTGGGAATTTCAGTGGTACACCAACAATCGCTCCAATTCCTATGCCGAGCAAGGAGTGCTTCACATCAGACCGACACTGAGCGCAAATGACTTCGGAGAGTCTTTCCTCACCTCCGGCACACTTAATCTCCACGGCGGAGCGCCGGCGGATCAGTAAGTGCTTCTTTGTTAGATTAGACTCAAGTATGATTGTGGTTAATAATCTTGGGTCGATATTTAATCATTTTCAAGGGTTATTTTATGGTCGAATGAAATTTAAAATAAGATAATCTCGAGATTCAAATCACGCTCTCTTGAATTAAACCCCGCATTTTTCTTGATTTAATCCAGTTGTAAAGAAAATCTCAGTTTCTTAAGTTCTGAGTTAGTTTCCAGCGGATTCGAATTGAAAACCTTGAAAGTGGATACGAATTATCTGGAAAATCCTTGTCTCCTTCTCAGATGCACAAATCCTCAGTTTTGGGGCTGCGAGCGCTCGGGAAACCCAATGAACGTCCTGAATCCCATCAAGAGCGCCCGCATCCGGACGGTGAACTCGTTCGCCTTCAAGTTCGGCAAGGTGGAGGTGAACGCGAAAATGCCGAGCGGGGATTGGCTCTGGCCTTCCGTCTGGTTCCTGCCCAAGCACAACGCCTACGGCTCCTGGCCAGCGTCCGGCGAGATCGACCTGCTGGAGTCGCGCGGCAATCGCGATCTGATGCAGGGCGGCGTCCACGTGGGCGTGGAGCAGATGACGTCGTCCCTCCAGTACGGCCCGTATCCGCAGCAGAACGCCTGGAAAACGACGCATTTCGCGCGCAACACGGCCCAAGGCAATGGGTTCAACAAGGACTTCCATCGCTACCAAATGGAATGGACGCCAGGTAAACTAGGTCACATTTTGGTCACTCATATTGCGTCATATTTCAGTTGACACACTGAGTTCATAATGACGATATGTGGTTTTATTGCAATGCAATTATGTGTGCAAAAGAGCATTTTATCCTTTGTACTTTGTGCTGTTCATAATTTTATCGTATGACGCAATTGCATCCTTTTGACCACTAATGGCGTAATGAAGTTTTGTCGTTTCATGTGTTTTTCACATCGTTTCAATGTCCAAAGGGCAAATTACTCTTTGATGGCATTTAACTGCAATTAATTGACATCAAAAAGGCAATTTTCCTTTGATCATATTTATAATTATTTTATATTGAATTCAGTGGCGATAATAAATATTTTCACATCAGATTCTCCACAAATTGTAGCCTTATTAATCTCCTCTTAATCCTTTTTACAGTGTGAAAATTGTGGGATTTGTAAGTGGCAATTTGCACAGAATTATGCATTTCCGCCCAATAAATCAGTGCAATTCTTGTGAAATCGCATGACTAACGTTCCTCATCCCAATGCTGTGATATCATTTTTCCGCTCATTTTCCTCCTCTTCGCAGATCGAATAACATTCAGCATTGATGACGTCGAAACGGGCACCATCAATGTGGGCGAAGGCTTCTGGCAGTACGGGAATTTCGACGCCAAAGCTCCAGGCACTGAGAATCCTTGGCGCTTGGGCTCAATTATGGCGCCATTCGATCAGGAAGTACGCATGTAATTTCCCACATCTCCCCTTTTCGCCATCTCTAACACTATGTTTATCTTCAGTTCTACTGCATCATTAATCTGGCCGTGGGTGGCACAGGATATTTCCCCGATGACGCTGTAAATCCCGGCGGAAAACCCTGGCTCAACTCATCGCCGCGAGCGGCCACGGACTTCTGGAACGGACGCAATCAGTGGCTGCCCACGTGGAAGCTGGACAGCAACTACACCAAGGACGCGTCCCTCCAGGTGGACTATCTGAGAATTTGGGCGCTGTAGGGGCGATAAATTGCTCTGTTTTCCGTAGTTTTCCCGCGATTTTCGCACGGATGTAGAAAAATAAATTGTAAGGCAGCAGTTGGCGTTTGAATTCAAAGAGCGCGCGCTCGCTGCGACATCTCACAGATTAATGAGACAATCGAAGAGAGCGAGTAAAAAAAACTCAACGAAACGCCTGTGGAAGAATTTGTTTACGTTTCAAAAGTGCCGTAACGACGATTGATTTCTCTCGATTTATGCACTTTTTCCCATCAATTTTCCCACAATTAGCACGAAAGTGGCTCTGTGCATTGTCTGGTGAGTGGTGCAGCGCTGAGAAAGAGTGCAGAATAGCAGCAAATGGAGTCGCTTCAGGAGGTTTGTCGCGCATCCTGAATGTGTTTCTTTCGTCATTGTGTTGTTCTGTTTGTGTTTTGTGTGTTCTGCATGAGTTATTTATTGTTTATTGTAGCTATGATTTTGCATAGATCACGTTGCCAAGTTTGCCTATGTAAGCAGTGTTTTGTCTATTTTCCACTCGCCGAGCATTCCAGTGAATCTCAATTGCTTTCTGTGATGTTTTCCCATCAGAGAAGACTCCCGGATCGCGAAGGGGGCGCATCGGCGGGCGATTGTGATCAGCAGTTGAGCACACGGATTAGCGATAGTGGTGTGGATTCGCTGGAGGAGCGACTGAGTCCGTCAGAATCGCTGATATCGCAGGACACGCTTGACTTCATCTTCCAAGGCTTTGAGTCGTCCGGAAAGCGGAATTTGCCGGATTTGACGGTAGTTTTCGTGGAAAAAATGTGATTATCTCCTAAGCGGATTACACATCTTTGTCCACCTTTACAGCCTGACAGCGAGACTCAGTCATTTGCATCGGATAAGAAGACTCTATCCGGATCGTCATCGAGTCTCAGGGACTCTTCGAAGAACCTCTTTCAGCGCCTGGGCGCTCTTTATTCCGACAATCCGCTGCTCTCGTCGCCCATTCACCGCACAGAAGCCACTTTCGGCGAGACGATGAGCAGCCAAGCGACTTCAACACATTCCACGGCGCGTCTCGAGAAGCTCTCCGCTCTGGCGGACTCCATCAGCAGCTGGGAGGAGGAAATGCCCGCTCATGCGCGTCCTGAAGTGGTGCGACTCACGCCGAAGAAGTGTCCAGCACCGCTGCCACCCCAGACAGTGGCTGACGAGAGGGATTTCATTAGGAAGCCCTCGATTAAGAAGACTCGAGCTCCGGACATTCCTAAGCTTCCGCCGCGCGGACAAGAAAATGCGCCAATTCCGCAAATTCCCGTGAAGTCTCCGGTCAAGGGTGGACGGGATCCGGCTGAGATGTCGCTGAAGGAGCGTCTGGCGCTCTTTGAGCGCAATCGCAACAATGGAAGGCCTCTGAGCAAACCGCCGGTGCCGCAGAAGCCGCCAAGTGTCTCCGCCGGAGGAATTCGGGACAAGATCGCCACGCTCTTTTCCTCTGGCATCGAAAATGCTGGACCGCGACGACAGAGAGAGGCAGATGTGAATGCTGCTCGTCAGGCTGAGGCTGTCTTGAGGCCACTGCTTCCGCCGCCAGCGCCGCCGGCTGTTCCGTCGCCGGCGAAGAGGAAGAGCGGTGAGAACATTGCAAGAGGGCGAATAACTGACTGAATAACTGATTATTGTCTCTGAATTCCACAAAAATTCACTTCTTGTACAGTATTTTCCTCAACATTTGTCAAACTTGAAGAAAATTGATGTTTCCAAGTGAAGATTCTCTGTGAAAGACACTTATTCGCCCCTTGAATCATCATTGTTTTGCATCTCAAGAGCAAAACTAACGTCTCTGTTTCGCAGGTGAATTGGAGAACATCGAAATGGTGCCAATTGTGGAGGAGCCGAAGAGGCCGAAAACCATCCAGGCGGACAATGCTGTGGCGATACAAGTGCGCCAGTTGGAAGGCGGCGCCAAGCAGAGGCCGCAAGGAGCGCCGCAACACGCGAGGAGACACGACGAAGACTCCAGGTGGGAGACATTCTTAGATTACGTTCTCTTTTGCTTCTGCATTCTGTAGAGCCGAGCTGAAGACGCAATGCAACCATTCTTCGCGACCAAATCACAATCAGACTGACTAGAATTAATTTATATATTCCTGATGACCAAAAAAGTCTTGCCAATTCACTGATAGCGACAGTTCTTCAGAAGGAAATTTATCTTAAGGGGTTGAATTTTACGCAGAAAATTAAGATGAAAGAATTAAATCTTCAATTCATGTGAAAAGTGATCAATTCACTATGATTATTGCTTTTTATTGTCCTTCATCTTAACAATATTGTCGTGATTTCGTGTTTAATTGCCATTTTAGTGTGACACGAGATAAAATAATTCATTTTAATAACCCATTAAGTAAATGTTTCTTCAACAATCCTTTTATTTATTCTCTTTTCTCGCTTCACTTCATGACGAAGAAGAATGGATACAAAACAAATCGTCCAAGATAATCATTGTTCTTAAGAAGAGACTCTTTTGCGTGATATGTAAATGAGTTATTGTTCATAATTTATTGTTTTCACCTTCATTCCTTTACTCTTTGTCACTATTATTGAATCATTTTAGGGCAGCTTTTGCAGACTAAGAAATCTAAATGTGTTTCTAAGATGAATTTCTAGTGTAAATAATCACTTTAAAACATCCTTTTAGCCATTAAGCAATGTAATCTTAAGACATTTTTGCAACACAATTTGTAACTTTTATAACCTTTTTGATACACTTTTGAATCTTTTACTCATCTAAATAAATTAATCTTTCATTCTCAGATGATGATTTCCTTCTTTCATTGCTTTACGATTACATTTCTTTTTTGCTCTTCTTTCTTATTTAATGGTTTTGGTTTTTACACATTTTCTCGTTGTTTTGCCCTCCAAAAAAACAAGCACAAAAAACAGCCTCGCGACGTCCGAAGGAACATCAATTGTGGCGAACGAAGGAGAGAAAAGTGCAGAGAAGAACATAACACAGAGTGTGTTGAAGACTCTTCTTGATAATGCCAGACTTTTGGGTGAAAACGACTCTGACGACAGTTCAAGTGACCTTTCGGGTCATCTTGAAGACGTCGAGGAGTGTTTGGACGACACTTTTCACCTTACCAGTGATGATGAGAGAAATGTGAGTATGAAAATGATTGTTTTTCTAGGTGTTTTCCTTATTTTTCATGTTTATTTTGATGCAGGAAAAAGGATCAATTTCATCAGAGAGTTTCTTATATCGTCGAACACCGAAGAAACCAGCAATTTGTGCCATCAGAGAGGAGGATTTGAGTGATGATGAGGACGATAGTGGATCACCTCTGCTGCACAGCGTGAGTTTCTATCGCAAACAGCAGCAGAACAGGAGTCAAGTCAAGTGCCAGAAGAAGCTGCAAGTTGACGATGCAACTGCAGCGATTGCTGACGATTCGTCGTGGCAATTGGAGGTGAAGGCGAAGAAGTTGAATGAGGAGATTCACAAGCAGCAGCAAATCATCTCGCAGACGAGTCAGGCGCTCAATCTGTGCGCCGCCACGGTGGAATTCAGTGGCTCCAGTGAGTCAGTCGAGGGTGAGCGTCATCTGCTTGTGGCCACGCATCGACGCCTGGCTGTGCTGAATGAGTTGCAGCGCATGAATGTGGAGAAGAGCGTGCGACCGCGGGATTCGCCTCCGGAAATGGGATCACTGAGCGTGAGTGGAATTACAATTCCACTGGCTCAGGCGTACATTCGTCAAATGGCCACAGACACAATTCCTGGCCATCATTTGGTGTGTCTGCTGAAGTACAATGACAGCGTTCTGGCCACTCAGAGTATCATCACGCTGCCAGGCTTGGTGGCAGTGAAGTTTGCCGATGAATTGCATCTGCCGGAAGTCTATGCGGACTTCAAAGTCACTCTCGAGGTGTACGGAATGGCGGCGCAGCGTGAAGTGCTGCCGCATGAGCTCAAGTATCACATTCTGGGCAAGAAATTGCCCTCGAGTGCCAAGAAGGGCTTCATGGGCGTCGGTGGAACGCCAGTGAAGCGTCTGCGGAAGCCAATTGTGGAGTCACCAGCTGGTCCATCGGCCGTGAGATCGCCGGCGTTCACGCTCTACGGCTCGGTGATTTTCTCCCTGAGGGAGGCGCAGAGGCGCACGATGTGGACACTGAATCGCACCAGCTTTGCGCCAGATCCCGTCGAGGGTGTCATTCACATGCGCGTGTCGTGCCAGCTGCGGAACACCACGCAATACCGTGGCTTCCTGACCATGTTCGAGGATGTGTCGGGTTTGGGAGCGTGGCACAGGCGCTGGTGTCATCTGCACGGCACCACGCTCAACTACTGGAAGTATCCGGACGACGAGACGAAGAAGTTGGCCATCGGAAGCATCGATTTGCAGTTGTGCAGAGTGTCAAAGATTGCCGCTGTGCCGCGAGACATTTGCGCCAGAATGAACACTCTTCTGCTGGAACTGGAGAGACCCAGAATGGCGACAGATGAGGAATCTCTGGTGCTGATTCCTCGTGGGAAGACAACTGTTGTTCGGTAACTTATATTAGTTTTATCATGTGACACTTTTGCCAGTGTTTTTCCCAAGAATTCGCTCTCTTATTTAATCACTTGTGGTGCGTCAGATGAATTTCCATAGAATAATTGTTGTTCTCTATAATAACTGAGTGAATTTTACTCTCTTTTCAGACATCTTCTGTCCACGGACACGAAGGAGGAGCGCGAAGAGTGGTGCGAGAATCTCAATTACGTTCTCAGACTCATAAAATCTTGGGAATCACCCAAACACTAATCATTCGGAAGAGGATTTGCGTCAATTTTTTTTTCTAATCTTATCTCACATCTCGTTCAATGTGAAAAATTAGCCAGAGTTTCTATTAAAAACTCCCTCCAGTGAGTGTCGCGAAATGCACTGAAGTGTGTTGATAACGAACATCTCCATTGATAAGTTTGTGTCTTTTTTTGGTGTATAAAAAGAGTCCGAAATTGTAAATTGACCAGTCAGTGTTTCAATAAAGCTTCAAAAATGAAGGTGTTGCTTTTGCTTGTGGCGGCAATTTTCGCCTGTGGCGCTGAAGCGCAGATTTGCAATGTTTCCGCCACCATCGTGAGCGGCACTCACGCTCCGCAGGGCACCATCTGCTCTGGCCAGCTGCTGTTCGAGGAGAACTTCAACGAGCTGAACTTCGCCAAGTGGCAGCACGAGATCACGCTGGCCGGCGGTGGGAATTGGGAATTCCAGTGGTACAGCAACAATCGCTCCAACTCCTACGTGAACGGCGGTCTGCTGTACATCCGCCCGACACTCACGAACGACACCACTGGCGATCACTTTATCTCCTCGGGCACGCTGAACATCCACGGCGGAGCGCCAGCGGATCAGTGAGTCTCAGCGCGCACAGATAAGCCTTATCGCCGTCACTCTCTTTCTCCCCGCAGGTGCACAAATCCGCAGTTTTGGGGCTGCGAGAGAACCGGAAGCTTCAACAATGTCATCAATCCCATCAAGAGCGCCCGCATTCGCACCGTGAACTCCTTCGCCTTCCGCTACGGAAGAGTGGAAGTTCAGGCCAAATTGCCGGCCGGAGATTGGCTGTGGCCAGCCATTTGGCTCATGCCCAAGCACAACGTCTACGGCTCCTGGCCAGCGTCCGGCGAGATCGATCTGATGGAAGCGAGAGGTGAGAATCACTCAAACATCTGCTTAATGCACTGTTTAATTGTTCCTGCTAATTTATTACGCATTATTAATCGTGCTATTTGATTGAGTTTCTTGATTTAATTCAAGTAAATGATAGAGAACGAATTAAGACACCAATTTCTCAATTCAATTCCTTCACTTGCTTGATATTTTTGATCAAATTCACGTGTAAAATAATGCATTTTTTGGAGAATCTCAGTGTCTTTCATCAAGAATAAAGAGCGAAAACAAATCAATGCGGCCGCCAAAGGAAGTCATAAGCTTGCTTAACTTATCTGCGTTCGACGAGAGCTTTGTGCGCTGCCAAAACGATAAGACAGTGTTGAGAATCTCACCTTTGCCCTCTCGTTCGCAGGCAACAGGAATCTCCTGCAGAACGGCGTGAACATCGGCGTGGAGCGCGTGGGAAGCACGCTCCACTTCGGCCCCTATCCCGCCCTCAACGGCGCCAACACGACGCACTTCACGCGCAACTCCGCCGCCGGCAACGGCTTCAATCGCGCCTTCCATCGCTACCAGCTGGAGTGGACGCCGGACAGCATGCGGTTCTACGTGGACGGCCAGCTGATCGGCACCGTGAACGCCAGCACGACGAGCTTCTGGGATCGCGGCGGCTTCGCGGCGCGCGCGCCAGGCACGGAGAATCCCTGGCGCTACGCCGGCCGCATGGCGCCCTTCGACCAGGAGTTCTACCTGATCATCAATCTGGCCGTGGGCGGAACCAACTTCTTCCCGGACAACGTCTCGAATCCCGGCGGCAAGCCGTGGCACAACTCGTCGCCGCAGGCGTCCACGGACTTCTGGAACGGACGCAATCAGTGGCTGCCCACGTGGAACCTCAGGACGGACTTCTCGCGCGAAGCCTCGCTGCAAGTCGATTACGTGCGCATTTGGGCGCTTTGAGGAGGAATTTCAGTAAACTCTGTGACCTTTATTTGGCCTTCTTCTTCTTCAGCTTCTTGCTCCTCTGCTTGCTGGGATTTGGCAGGATTCTGTTGATGACCAGCGGCAGATAAGCTGCAGACTTCTTCTTCGGTCGCTTTGTCTTCACCTTTCGGATGGCTTTGGATGATATCGAGAGATTCGTCAAACTCTTGGCGACTTGCTTTGGCTTCCGGAACTCTTCTTCCGACGACGACGAGTGACTATCTTCGGGCGTTCCTTCGATCATTTTGCAGGATTCCTCAATGTTTGAAACTTCTGGGATGAAAACACGATCTTTCGTGTACTTGTGCTTGCGAAGATAGAGAGAATTTGCCTGGAAATCTAACGAGAGAAGAGATTTCGCCTTCTTTCTCTCTGTTTTCCCATCGTTTTTCGTCCGTGACTCACAAATGTAGTCTTCTGGCACGGGAAATCGCTCAGATTCCTGACTAATAAAACTGTGCAGTGGATTGAAGTCATTCTTCTCGTGCTGATTGATCAGGGCGAGAGAAACTGATGGAATCCCAGCATCTTTCAGCAGATCTTCCAGTTTGTCCACGCAAAGCACTTTCAAGTTCTTCTTCTGCGCGAAAGCATGCTGGATTATCTGGTTCAGCACAAAGCGCGGTTCAATGCTGGTTGAGAGGATCAGAGAGTCCACTTTGCCGGCCCTCAAATTCCGCTGGACCGAACACAATCCGTGAAGCAGGAAGTTTCTGGGAAAGAAATGTGTCTCAGAATGATTGTTTTCATCAACTGAATTCAGCTGAGGCTTTACCTATTGACTGTCGTTCGTTTCTTTCCTTCGGAATGAGCTTCAGACTGTCTTTGAGCTCTGCAAAGGGGAAAAATTATCCGTGAAAATCTTTCCGGAAACACATAACCTCACATTTAACTTACAGAACACTTTTCAGGATATTCTTGAGCGTTGGCAGTGAAGAACTCGGTAGCAGTGGCCTGAAAGAGCACCACAGTTAATAAAAAAATAAGAAAAAATCACTTATTATGAGGTAAAATAGGGAAAAATTAAGGGAAACTCACCAATATTTCGTATACGGACTGGCAAGAACATTCTTCAATTTCACCTTGCTTTGCTTCACAGAAATGGACTTTTCCAGCTGTTTATTGGTCAATTGTGCGGATTTCTTCATTTTTGCGTTGAAAAACAAGTTAAATTCTGTGTGTTTTCCACAGAAAATGCTTGAAAACTGAAAGGCACGAAACTTGCTCAGCAAAACAACTACTCACCAGCGCCACTTTCCAGTCAACGGAATATTCTTGCAACCTTTCCAAATAGAAGAATGAATTTTGGAGGGAAATTCATAAATGATGGGAAGAAATATTTTCATAAGTGTTTAGATATGAAGAAATAATGAATTTTTACAATAATGCTAACAATTCTGAATAAATCTTCTTCTTGATATATTAATTATTCTCTTTGGAAAGAAATATTTTGACAGTTAGATAAAATTGCATGGAAAATTACTTCTCAATATAAAGCTACTTTTTAGGGGTTTGACAATGATTTTACATTATAAATAGTGCACAGAAAGCGAAAGACGTTAATTAAGTGGCATTTTAAGTGCTAAAATGGTTTCTGTCACTTAGTCACATTATATTATTTATCATTTATTTGAATTAAATTTTAAAGCGTCTGTAAATTTTGCATTCAATTTATTTGTCAGGATTAAATAAAATATTTTCTCACACAACGCAAAATGCAACACATTTTCTTAAACACAATTTCCACAGTTTATCTAATATTTACAGCTTTTTCCTATCCCACACCATACAGTGTCACTCTGCCAATCGCTCGAGTACATTTAATTGAATTTCAGTCTTGATTCCAGCAAATTCTGAGGGTATTTTCATAAAATTCACCTGCATTCTGGTGTTGATTGCATTACTGTTCACCGACAAACTCTTCCTCTGTCGACGCACACATTCCGATGGAGGAGTGCGCAAGGATGGAAGAGAAGTCATCGAGGGGAACTTTATTTGACTTCCTGTTTAGCAATTTGGTCGTAAAATGGCTTATGAAGAAATAAATCCATTGTCAGTGGAATTGAAAGGGGGTGTCAACCCTTCTCCGCTCCTTCCAACTCGCGGCACGTCCAGGAAAACCCTCGACAATCCGCCTCTTTAGCATTCTGCCGTGTTGTTTTTTATTCCCCGCTCGAAACTGGGAAAAATACTGGCGCAAAAGGGGGATAAAAGAGAGTCTACAACCTCTGAGAATCGTGAGGGGATGTAAAAAAAAAGTGACTACAAGATAAATGACGGAGGGTTGCACGTGGTTGAGTTTTTATCCCGCCGCTTCCTTCCGCTCCTCAGGGAAACCTTTGGTTTTGCCGACACTCCTCAAATCCGAAATCGCACTTTGCAGGCGGAGAGATTTTGGAGATATCACTGAAAATACACAGAGAGAGAGTAATCGATGATGATTGATGCTCTTTTGAGTGTGATTTGGTTTCATTTTCATCATTAGATGGCAAAGGGGAGATGATTTTGTGGTCTGCATCTCAATCATCTTAATCAAGAGGAAGTAATGCAGCAAAATTCTATACATCAAGGATAAGCCACTAAACAATTTTTTAAGAAATCTTAATGGTCTCAATCGAATATTTTAAAATTGATTTTTGCTTTGAAATCATGAAAATTTGAATGAAAATAATCATAAATGATTAATTTTCCAAGTAAAATTGCAAAATAGTAAAAAATTGAATATTTGCAATAAAATATTTTATTAAATTTCTTGATATTTTAATATTTTCAGAATATTTAATAAAAATCTAAATATAAATAGCAAAAAAGTCACAAAATTTGCCACAAATTGAGTTTGAACACCTTAAAATGAAGAGAAAATACAAACGGAACTCAAACATTCCTTTTAAATTTCAATTGCTGCCCTCTGGCGGCAATTTGTGAAGAAAATAATCATTTATTTAAATATTTCCTGGCATAATCAAGAGACAAAGATTGAATAAACACAAAGTTAAGTGTCTGAAATCGCGAGTGATTTTCATAGTGTAAAGCATTCTAAAGTCAAAATTAGTTGTTAGTTTGATTCAGCGCAGGAATACTTAACTTTTGACGTCACGTGCACAGATTTGAGACATATTATCTGCTCCTTGTTGGATGAAATGATGCATGGCGCTTACGTTTCAATCCACAGGTTCATTGGATGGACGGCGGAGCACATATTGATTTCATTAGAATGGCATTTTGAGGGCAACATCACGATATTCTTCGCACTAAATACCATATCGTTAAATGCAATTGACCCGAGAGCCAGAATGAATAAGTGCAGAGTCTTGAGCGGAGTCATCAAATGCATCTTAGAGTGAAAGGCGAGTCTAATCACTCTGTTTGGTGTACCTTTCGCTCTTATATCGCCTATCATCCCATTGGCTAGATTGCTGAATTCCCAAGAATAGGGGAATCATTAGGGGGGAAATTTTACGGCTAATAACTAAGAAGAAGTGAAAATAAAATCTTAAAATAAAAAACATTGTATGCAAATATTATCCACAAGTGTAAGAAAATAAATTTATCTCGCTGTGCTAATTACACTGTGCGAAGTGTCTCAAGAGAGTGAGAGTCTGTTCAAAATGGCAAATTGCGCGATGTGAATGTACACATTTTTCCAATTAGGCAAAATAATTTTCACCCGTCAATTGTGCTTTAAATGCTCTACAGTCGGTTAACTTTATGTAAATTCCAGCGGTGATGTTATTCAATTGCATTTGTGCCTCTTGTTCTACCTGCGGGACGAAAGATGGGCCACGTGAGCACTCAGTACATTTGCATGTGAAAAGGATTAGGTGCAGGGAGTCATAAGCTAGTCCAGGAGCAATAGACCGAAAGGGACTTTAACTTCAAATTAGACTTGATAATGATCAGGGTCAGACTCCATTGCGTACCTGCCTTAGTATTGGGTGAAAGTGTTTCTATCGGGACTTTTCCTGAGAATCCCATAAAAATGGGAATATTTTTGAGAACATGTTTTGCCCAATTCTTCACTCACACAGTGTCTGGCGAAGCAATAGGACATACAAACACACAACGTGATTGAGTATTGGTTAACTGAACTGTATTTTGATGTAAATTCTGGTCATTATTTCAAAAATAGAAGAGTTTTAATTACTTGAAAATACTTATGAAAAGTCCAGACCATCAATGAAATATTTGGTTATTGTATGAATTTTTAGATTATTTTGTGAATATTTAATCAATATTTATTCCTTTTAGTTTAATGATTATAAAACTGGGCTTTTTTCTACACAAAGTTTCACGCCGGGAAATCATAGAGTGTAAAAATGCAGAAAAAGAGAAAATTATGCATTCACCACGCCTACTTTGCTGCCCTCTGGCGACCATATATGGAGAAAATAATCAAAAATTGTAATATTTTCGAATCATAATATGATTTCTAGCAATATTTTGCAATTTTCCTTGGAAAATAATACTTTTTAAAAATAATTTTTACTCAAATTTTAATTCTTTAATTTATTAAGATTCCGTGTTGCTTTTAAACGTTGGTGGAAGTGAAAAGAATTCTTTTCTGGGGTGTACATTGTGGTCTGACAGAGCTTCACTGCCTTGACTTTTCCAGAGAAGAGAGAAAAAAGCAAAGATAATAATGTTCCATAAGCGGAAATTTTCTGAACAGATAAATATCATCATTCAAAATGTGACGATGGCTAATCAAACTAGAGCGAGGCTCAGTCAACAAAAGGGATGTCTGTCTTGCGGAGCAGGGATTTTAATTAAATGATTAATCAATTAATTAAAATTATGACGACTAGCGCAAGTGGAAATGGGGGGAAAATATTAGCATGTGAATCCCAGCTTTTGTGTGCTATGAGAAATTATCATATCGCAATTGATATCATCTTGCTTGGCAGAGAGTGATCCCGGAGAATTCCCGCAAAGAAGGGGGCGAAGAAGCGCGATAGTGAATTCTCGTGCGCTGCTTTTCTATTTCGCAAGTTGATTTTCCCGATGCCACTGCTGAGGGCAACTTGTTCCCTATGCCCGACATGGTGAGAGAGAAGTGAAGGAGAATTTCTACATGACGCCGTTGCTTGTGTGCGAGCAAAACTGGCTTGGCCGAGCCAAAAGCCAAGAGTGAGTGAGTGTTTAGCTTTGAGGCTTCAGGCACATCTGAAAGGCGACGACTATCCAGTTGTGTTTGACGCGCACAAGTGAATGGTCTCTTCTGCAAACCGCCAAAGATCTCTCCGCATCCACAATTCTGCATTGCACAGTGTCTTGTGGTGCACGAAATATCATTAATAAACAAACTCACCCAGCGAAGTGAAAATAAAGGCAAATTGCCGCGAAAGAGTGGGTAAAAGTGGTGGATTTTTCTCAATTCGCGTGTGTCGCGCGGTGCACCAGTGAAATTTTGCACCTACAACCATGGATATTTTCCCATCGGAGGCAGAGCACAAAGTGTTGTGAGACATTCTGGTGGTACGAAAAGGACTTTGTGTTTGGCTGAAGAAGTGCTGTGTGGTGGAGGAGAAGAAGAATCTCTCTTCCTCAGGCCCAGAATTTGTTGACGACCAAACGCTTAAGACAACTCAAGTGCAGATCAAATTGTCTCTCTCTCTTGTCTTCGGTTCAGTAATTTCTCTACATATACTAAAATATCACCTCGAATTTCTGTGACCTGCTTTTTTCCTCAACTCCCAGGCAATTCAATCAAGCACATTATTTATTTTTCATTTATGATATATTTCGAAAAAAGGCACACATTTCCTTTTTGTGGCAATTTCTCAGTGTATCTCACAGTCGTGTAATATATTTCACCTCTTATTTATTTATTCATTTGGTGCGTGGAATTTTTGTGTGATCATATTGTTAAATGTTAGTGAGAAGAAAAGACACAGTGCTGGAAGGGAGGCTGTAGTGAAAGAGATTGTGTAGTCAAATGCACAAAGGAAGAAACAAGTGACGAAGGTGGGAAAGAACCTCACACAAGCACAAGAAGGATTTCTTTGTCGAATAGAAGAACACACGTCGGGTTAATTCTCTTGAGAAAGGAAAATCCACATGTGAAGGAGGAAAATTTTGTGCGTGAACAAAGAGAGAAAGAGAGAAGAATTTATTTTCGCCACAAGTGAGACACAGATTGTCTTATCACAACTTTGCCAACTTTGCTGCTCAACAGAGCCAACGAGATAGAGAGGAGAAAAACTTGGTCTAACAGTGACGCCAATTTCTTACCTGAGAAACTGCATCAGTGATTAACTTTCTGCTCTTCATCATCTTGCTCCGTGTGTGTTGAGAGGTAAAGAACAAGACATTTTCCAACGTATTACATTCGAGTAATTTATGCATAAGGTGCCATTTAATTTAATTTATGGTTAATTTTTCACTTCAAATCCTACTCACTCTATATAAAATGCCAAATGGCACATTATTTTGTCTCATGACGCTTGACATCTTCTGTTAAATAATATCATCTGAGAGCATTGAAAAAGCCCGGATAGCAAAATAAATTGGAGGTGATTTCTATATTTGACTTTTTGGACACAAACTAAATACCATCTCATTGTCTTCTTCGCTTCATTTTCTGCAATCAGCGCGAATCTTCTCTTATATGCTACAGTTTACCGCAAACTATAGTCACATTTGTGGTGCCTCTGAACTCTTCCTTCCCTTCAATGCCATGCACTCAGAGAAATCTGGAGCAGATTCACACAAAAGTTGATAGTGACTGTCTTATGAAAGTCCATCACAATGTCACAGGGAACTTTTTGGTTTACTACAATTGTACGTCAAATAGATGATGTGTTTATCACAGATCACAAATTGTTTTAACTTTGTCAGAATGAGAAAGCTTATATGAATATCAGAGGACAGTCGTAGGATTGTCATATGATCCGTGCATGTACAATTGAAGGAAATGTCTCATAACAGACTAACAAATCATGTTTCGTTTCTTTTGGTTGTTTTCACGTTAGAAATTGATTGAGAACCATATAATTATGCCCATTTGTTGAGGACTTAGAAATATTACGAAAATCGCAGGACAATCCATATGAATTTTAACAGACGTTTCACATAAATAAACAGATTTCTCTTAGTGCAGAATTTATCTACAATTTTTTCGAATACAAAAGCAGAAAAAAGAAGAAAAAAAAAACATTTCTTTTTCACGTTTCTTTAGCACTTTTTTCTGCCGAACCATCCGCTCTAAACGTGTACGATGGCCATATTATGCGATGTGTGTATCATCATCTGTTGTATTTTCTCTATATGTAGATATGTAGTACTTTACCTGGATCTTTTTCTCATCACTTCTGGCTCTCCTTCTCTCTGTTGCTCTCTTGAATAAACCGTCACAACATGGATAGTCTTTCATTTGGGTGTATAAATATAAGTTAATGTGTCTCCGAATGGCAAAATAAATACACTACCTAATAAAATGAGGAATTACATAAAAATTGAGCACAAACGTAACTTTCTTTCGTAACTATTTCAATACACATGGCGACTCAAGTACTAAATTACAATTTAGGCTCAATAAATAGTGGCATTTCACCTCAAAATCATATATGAGAAATTCAATGTCTTTCTCTCTCTCCTCTCTTGACGCAAATTTCTCATGTTTTCTCATCACTTTGCAGCACATAATGATACAAATATTTAGTCGAGCAACGCAAAATGGCATGGCATATTTCATGCACTGAGTAACGCAAATTGTGTATGAAATACACACAAATACTCAGAATGTTTAGCAACAATTTTCAAGCTTTTTTGGCAACGCAGTGCAAAAATATTTATTATACCCCAGAATTCCGCCTTCAAGGGCTCAACATGAGTTTCTCATGTTTGAGAAAAAGTGGGAAGAGAAAAAGAGTCTCTCAAGAACCCATTCCAGACTGTGACTTTTATTCACTGTGAGTTGACAAATCTGTGTGTAGTGTGAAAGACGCCGAGGGTGTTTCTATTTTTGGTCAAGTTTTACAGACGTGACCAGAAAATTAAGGTCAACCTACCAATTTACTCTTATCACGATAACAAATCAACCGTTTTCTTCTGTCTTTTCTGAGACAACATTTAAATTTCGATGCGATGGGAGAGAAAAAAAAATTAAAAGGCATTTTCACTTTGACACTTTATTGGTTTTTACACATCATTTGATGGAAATTCATTCATAAAATATATATTATCAGTTTTTGACTGTCACGCGATTTTATTCACATTTTCCCATCATTTGGGCAAATGTGGAAAATTATATAGCAATAATATTGTGTTATTATAGTGAATTCTTTGGAAGATTTGCACGCCATGTTTTCCATTGACATGCCTTTGCTTTCATTAATTGTCTTGTCGAAGAAAATATGTTTAAATTCATGCTACAATTGCATAAGATAAAATATAATCACTTTTGCTACCAAAAATCAACTACTGATAATAAAATTCTCATTTCACTTCCAATTAATGATGTCATGTTACCTGAAAACTCTGGCTAAAATAATTTTTTTCACTTTCAAGATTTTTCTTGTAATGCAATTTTAAGTGGTTCGCGCATTTTTATGCACATTTCACCTTTCAATACACAATTTCACGGTATTTTATGGTGAAATATTATTACACACTGAGAGAAATATCCATCTGAAACTCCAATGCAATCTCAATGCAATATGTCAACTTTTGGGGTAATTAATAAGATTTGTCATCAATATTCTTCATTTTACTGTATACATATAAATGTAAAAGAACAAAATCCTACGGTTTATGTATAAAAATAATAATAATTCCACCAAAGTCATTGCACTTCTTGCCTTCTTTCACCGTCGTCTTATGTACAGAATTTTGTTGTGCAGAGGAATTCCTTCAAAGGGCATCTTCTTCCTTCCCGCACAAAGTGAGGGTAAGAAAAAAAAGTTCCCTTCACGCGAAGAGATACGCCTAAGTGACTTTGAATCACATTTCCGGCACTTTCATCAGGCATTTTTGTTAAATGGCCCATTAAGGCAAAAAACACACCATCAACGTTTGACAAATAAGAATAAAAGCCGAGGAAAATATGAGTCAAAAGAAAAAGACGCCCGCCTCTTGCCAACCTTCAGAAAATGTGGTGTGTTCGCGAGAAGAAAGAGAACGGATTTGTACTTGCCGCATAAGCTCTTTATAAAGCGTGCTTAAGAATGCGAAAATCTGACTGAGAGAGATGCCATAGTTGAAATAGTTGAAATTTTAAGATTTGCACTCTGTTTTTTCTTCGCTTTTCACATCTCAGCGCACTTGTTTCTCTTCCATCAATAAATTGACTTATTGAATGGTGATTATTCGCGCAGCGAGGGGGAAAAAAAGAGCAATAAACAGTGAATAATGTGGCACTTTTGGGCTACAAGCTGAGTGTGACCTCATTTGTCCCAACAGAAGCCCGATATTTTGTAAATTTTCTTTTCTTCGTCTGCATCTTGGGGCGCACAAAGAAATTATATGTGCATTCTCCTTTGCTGCATCATGCATATTATGTGCTGTGCACACAGAAGGCGAAAAAGAATTTCTCCGAGATGATAAGACAAACCCGAGAGTGACGAATGGCTTTCTGATTTTTCCTTTTTGACCTTTTCCAGATGTGTTTGTTGACAATTTCCAAAGATGCATAACACAATTATCGCATGGCGGACAAAAGAAATTGTGTTGATTTGCAAAGAAGACGCCGTATTTGTGCTCATTGATTTCAATTAAGCAATTATAGAGATATTTTGTGGTGACAAAGAAGGCAGAGAACGAGAGAGAGAGAGAGAGAGAGAGAGTCAAAGGTGCTAGACGATGCAATGACTTGTAGTGGCAATTTGGAGTGTTCTTGGAATATCATCAAGAAATCGCGATGGAAAGTGAGAATTGCACTTGAGATGAAGCATTAAGCAAATAATCAAGCCTTTGAGGGGTGTTAAACAGAATCATGCTGATTCTGCTGGTCAAAATTGGAATGTTTTTGGCCAATATAAACATCTTGCGAGGCTGCTTTATGCTAAATTTGTATGACCTTTTGCGGGAAAAGCCTCCAATTTCTCTCATTAACTGATGGATGAAATTAGTTCAGAAGCATCAAATTAATGGGTTAAAATTCAACATTTCCCAATATATATGTCGCAAAAATTGCTATTTCATAACATTTAATGATAACTTGCGATAATCGAGTCTTCCATTGATAAAATTCCTTAATGTCTCAATGAGCCATTGAGGCCGCTTTGGCGCACTGAAAGGAAAAGCCATGGGAAAAATGGAAACTTGGTGGTATTTTATTTTAAAAGTGCAACGAAGCAGACTTGACATTATGCTCGATTGCAAATTTGTCTTACATCGTCATCATTATGCTCCAGAGTCTCATAAAATGCTAATTACTTCACTTGGAATATAGCTTTAAAACTGCGCGCGTATATAATTTGAGTGTGGCGATGATAATTTTATACAACACCCCAACAACGATGACAATAATAGTGCTGGGGAAATTACCATAGATGAGATAAAAGAAACACTTTCAATGCAACACCACTAAATTAACAAATTCCAAGTTTAGAGATTGCATGAGAGTTGACACCCATGGAATGTCTTCAGCCTGCAGAGTCGCATGTGGAAATAGTTCTGCGGATGCTGCAAGAATATAAACATTTCTATTATTCACGTTCCCCTCAAGAGCCATTTCGTGTTTTCGTGGAGGGTGAAGATGAAGTTTTCGGGAATTGAAGATGGAAATTATACACTCACTTGGCATTTCCTTAAGCCATCGCAATCTCAAGCTGCAATTTAACTCCTTTGGGGGGAACCGAGTTTCAAAATTACATATCTAATAAACGGAAAATTAACGTCTCAACTTGTGTAATTTCTGCCCCAAAATTAACATTCGCGACAAAATTGGGAATCGAGAGAGATGTATAATATTGTGGCGATGAGGCGATGAAAGAAGGTGCACTTTTGCAGATTTCTTGAGATTTCTCATCTTTCTCTTTCTCTCTCGCTCTGAAGATGCTTCGAAAAAAAAAAACATTGTGTGTATGCACAATGAAATTGTACAAACAGGAAATATGCATACTTATACAGTGTGTTTCATGTGAATAAATCAAGTAAAGATTACATTGTTGGAGCAATGGACTTTGATGGAGAAGAATTTACATTATGGACGGCTTATTTTCTCTTTATTAGATAATTTCCTTGAGATGCAATTTCATCTTCTAATTCTTTTGTTTCTCACCTCGCACTTCCCATCTTGACTTTGGTGGGCACAGAAATTGAGTAGACTTCGTCTCTTCCTGGCTGAGATGCGGC